AGAATTAACAATTCAATGAAGGAAAATATGTTTACAAAGTTTGAGTAATTCAATTGTTGAAGAAAATTCGCATTAATTCAGGTAATAAACATATACGTTGCAAGGTGTTAAACGACAGACGTTTCTCGTTTAACTATTCTCCCGCACCTAGGCGCGCTAAGCGACTATACTGTTCTCTAGCTCCCGCAGTTTACGTATTGCATCCCGGAGCAATTTCCTGGACAGCTTTCCATTCGCCTTGGTGATGCGGATTCCCTGGGTGGTGGTATTGATTTTCTTTGCTCTTTGTCCCATATGCGGGTGCTTGTGCTTGTTAGAGCTGAGTTCAGTACGGCGTAGACAGTGGAGACGATGTGCGGTAGGCCTTTTGCGCGATGCTGGAGCGTGGTGTTGCAGAGAGTTTTTGCTGAGTGCCGTCTTCCGGTGAAGTAGGGTATGGTGACGCTGACCACATAGCCTGCAGATTCCAGCGGAGGGACAGTCCTTGCTGTGATGCGATAAGGCGAGGCAGTTGGTGTAAAATTTGTGTGCACGTGCGACCAGATAACGTTGGGTCGGCTGCATTGCGCGAAACACTTGGCATACCCGCAACGCGTGGTGTCGTGCGCACAGACGGCATCGATTGAAATCGGTGGTTTCCTCTTCTGGCTGCGCCGCTGGAGTTGTGTTAGTCGTCATGCCTACTTCGGACCGCTGCGGTTGCTTAGGCTGTAGCGATGTTCGAGGTGCTGGTTTCGGAGTGCCACTGCTGCTGCAAGTATCCATCTGTAAGTAAGCCGTGGAAGTTAGACTATCAGTGGGGAGTCTACCAGACAATTGAAGAAACGTGGGAGCAGAATATTTCATTCATATACAGGTTTTTAAATACATATGAGCTAAGAGAGTCTGTTGTCATGAAAGTGCTTAAAGGCTTTAATTGTGGCGCATTTGGAGAAGTCAGAGGGGCCCATTGGCAACGGGCATATTTTAACTATGGGGCGAGTAAGGGTGCCAGATTGGGTGCGCACATCGACAACTCGAATATGTCCGTCTCTGCCGGGGTGTGACCTTTCGATACGGCCTAAACGCCATTCAATGGGAGGTATAGTATTGTCAACAATAAGAACGCAGTCGCCGACTTTCGGCTCTGCCTGGGTATTTTTGCATCTATATCTCTTCTGTAAATCCTTGATATAATCTTCTTTCCACCTTCGACTAAACTCGTGATGTAACACCTTCACTTTTTCCCACCTATTAAGGAGGGACAGATGGCTGTGGTTGACTTCAGGGAGTGCTAAGAGGGGGGCGCCTCGTAAAAAGTGGCCACGCGTAAGCGCTGTGAGGTCTGTGGGGTCTTGGGATAGAGCAGAGATTGGCCGGGAGTTTAATACGGCCTCTATTCTGACTAACAGGGTGGTGAACTCTTCAAATGTGAATTTGCAGGGTCCAGCAGTCCTTTTGAGATGCATTTTGAAACTTTTGACTGCGGACTCCCACAAACCGCCCATGTGGGGGGCTCCTGGCGGAATAAATTCCCAGTTGATGCCTTGAGGTGAGTATTTCTGGATGACATCTTGAGATACCTCCTTCAGAAATTCGATGAACTCCTTTTCGGTTGCTCGTTTGGCCCCTACAAAGGTTTTGCCATTGTCGCTCATCATCTTAGCGGGATAACCCCGTCGTCCGACGAAGCGAGCAAACGCAGCGAGAAATCCGGCAGTGGTCAGATCGGAACACAGCTCGAGGTGGACTGCTTTTGTAGTGAAGCATACAAAAACAGCCACATAGCCCTTCACCAACGTGTGCGATCTTAGCATTGAGGCCTTTATCTGGAAAGGTCCAGCAAAATCTACGCCCGTAATAGTAAAGGGCGGAGCATACGTGCATCGTTCCGAGGGGAGGGCCGCCATTATCAGCGATCGCGTTTGCTGCTTGTGGACCGTGCAACTTTTACATTGGAAGATGCATTTTTTATGAGGGGCTTAAGCCAAGGGATATAAAATTCCTGCCTTATGACTTGCTGCATGAGACGAGTTTCTGCATGGAGGAGTAGTTCGTGCAGAAAGCGTGTGAATAGGATGGCAAACCGGGATTTTTCGGGAATTATGATGGGATGTCTTTCATTATAGCTCAAAGTGGCGTGAGCTAATCGACCATTCACGCGGAGCAACTTGGTTTTATCTAAAAACGGGTTGAGGGGAAGCAGAGGACTCCGTTTATCTATGGGTTTGGAGTTTGCTAAACAGGCCTTTTCCCGAGGAAAGTAGCGAGATTGGGTCAAAGCTAGGAGCCTGTATTTGCTATTACGGAGGTCATCATGAGAGAGAGAGATGGAATTATTTGATCTAACCTGTCTGACTCGGTCTCGAAGACGCTGTATAAATTTGAGAGCATACGCCATAACTGCATAAGTGCACGGGGAAACGAGGAGAAGCGATCAAGGATATCGTGATCTTCCTCTGTGGCATGTAATGCCTCGACTCGGCGCAATTCTGGAGGGGAGATATTTCGGGTGGCCGGTTTTGGCCAGGCTTCGGGTGGGCTTAATAGACATTCCGGTCCATGCCACCAAAGCGAAGAGGCCGCTAAGCAGGGTTGCCACTTTGGTAAATTATTACCAAATTTGGTAAAAAAAATGTGGGTTGGTAAAAAGGTAAATTTGTATTCGTTTTGGTAGATTTTTGTGCAATTTAAAACTGTTCGTTCTGGCTTAAAACTATTATATTCTGCTTTACCCTGCGTTTCGCTTGAAAAAAATACACCCGAAAATTTTTCATCCGCCCATAGTAAATACGGGGAAACCAAAAAGTCTGATTATAAATTTCTTTCTATAAGTATGGTCTATTTAATTTCATTAATTTTCAAACGCTTTTATTATGTCCTCTTTTAAACTCATTTTACTGGAATCCTGAGGAGCTTTTGATTGCCTAAATATTTTGAATGATACTTTAAATAAAATTAAAAAAGAAAAAAAAATCAAAAGTCCGGTGGCAAAAAAAAAATTTTAATCAACATAAAATTGTTGAATATAAATTTTTTTCTATTTTCTGTTATCCAAAAATTTTCTAAAAATTTAGAGAAAAAAGTTCGAAATTTTGGAGCAAATTTGTTGAATTCTTCTAAATTATAGTTTTAATCCATGATTTTTATGATTTTACTTAAAACGTAAACAATATTCTTTTCCAAAAAAAGGAAAAAAAATTACTTGAAAACAATTTGAATATAAAGAAAATAAAAAGCGTTTTTTTATTAAAAAAAAATTGATTTTTATTAAAATAACTCAAAAAAGAACAAATCTATAGTTTTTATTAAAATAACTAAAGAAAAGTTATTGGTAGATATTTTCCAGATTTGGTAGATTTTTTCAAAGTAAATGGTAAGTATTTTTGTTTGTCAGTGGCAACCCTGCCGCTAAGTCCAGGGGTCTGCATCCTCTGGTGCCCAGATCTGCGGGGTTGTCTCTGCTGCCCACATGCCGCCAGGTGGCGTTTCCGACGAGATCTAAAATTTGTGCCGTGCGATTGGAAACGAAGGTCTTCCATGAATGAGGGGTATTTTCTAGCCATGCCAAGACGATCTCGGAGTCAGACCATAGTATCAGTTTCCTCTTAGAGAGGTCGAGTTGAGACTGCACTACGGCGACCAGCTTCGCTAGGAGAAGGGCGCCGCACAATTCAAGTCGGGGTAAACTGGTGGTTCGGAGAGGCGCTACTTTGCCTTTGGAGACCAGCAGATGAGAAGAGGTCCTGCTACCGTTCGTGGTTCGCACATATATGTTAGCGCAGTATGCTTTCTCGGAAGCGTCGCAGAAGCCATGTAGCTCGACTTGGTCGGCGGGGACAAAATCTACCCATCGGGGTATTTGGATGCTAGAAATGGCTTGGAGATTGGTTGCAAATTGCATCCATTTCGTCAGACGGAGGGGCTTGACCTGGTCATCCCAGTCAGTTCCGTCCAGCCATAGTTCTTGTAGCAGGATTTTGGCTTGGATCATTATGGGCGTAAGCCATCCTGCGGGGTCAAACAATTTGGCAACTGCCGAGAGGATTTATCGTTTTGTACTGGCGGATGACGCTGGGATGGAATCAACGGTATACGAAAACGTATCGGGTAGAGCGTTCCACTGAATCCCGAGCGTTTTAGTGGTGCTTGCTGCTTCAAATTCTAGGAAGTTTGTGTCAAGCAGGTCGTCTTTGTTGGTGTTTTTCAAAATTTCAGGGTGGTTGGCTGTAATCTTTTTAAGTGGGAAGCCTGCCGAATTGAGCGCTTGGATGACTTGAGAGAGGTATTCTGCGGCTGAAGGGAGATCATGACCACCGGAAAGTATATCATCAACGTATGTTTCATTGCTTAATATGGGCACCGCTAAGGGGTGCATGGTTTGCACGTCATCTGCGAGCTGGTGAAGGGTACGTATAGCGAGGTAGGGGTGCGCAATTCAAACCAAACGTGACAGTTTTCAACTTATAATCTTGTATTTGGCTATTTGTAGATGGTCGAAATACGATTCGTTGATAGTCTTGGTCGTCTTTATGCAGCAGTATCTGTCGATACATTTTTTCGACATCGCCGTTAAATACAAATCGATACATACGCCACTTGAGGATCAATAACATCAAGTCGGGCTGGAGGGTTGGTCCGGTGTAAAGAACATCGTTCCGGACCCCGATTTCTTCGAAGCATTGAAGACGACTCGGACTTTGGTCGTTCTTTTTTCGGGTTTTATAACCGCGTGGTGTGGGAGGTAGAACGACCAATATTTGTCTTGAGAAGATATCTCGAGGGAAGTTGTTTCTTCCATATGGTAGAGCTGGGATACTATCGATAGTACCGCCACTCGATAGT